ATTAAAAGCCAAAGAAAAGTTTACTTTGAACAAACATGATTCCATAGGCAGGAATATGCCAAAAACATGCACTGTATTTTAAAAGCCAAAATATTTTATGTTCTGAGGCAGAGCATCTGAAAGATGACAGGTTTATATTCTTGGCTTAGATTATGGTTAATCTAAATACTACAGCACATCATCAATGAAACAAAATATAATTAATCTTAAAATTCACAGGCTATGTTTTAGAAATCTAGATGTGATTTTGATCATTGTATATTCACTGAATAAAGTGGCGAAGCTTTGCAGAAAAAATGGTCACATGGTCAAACAATTAAAAACACAATGTAATTTTTCTCTGTTCTAAGATATATTTTTAGAAACCACGTTTACAAATTTAACAGTCTATTGAGTGATAAAGCTTACCTGAACCAAAAATATAATAAGGAAATAAAAATTTGCCACTCTTCTGAATTGTTCAAATAAATTTTTTGGAATAAAATTCCACACAGTATACTAAAAAGAAAAAGGAGAGATCAATGAATTAATATTGAAAAATAATATATACACTATATAGATGTAATGAGAAAAGTAAAATCAAATTTACTAAGCTGTTAAATAAAATCTGTAACTCTTAATGATACAAAAACTATTTATCTAGGTTCTAGAGTTCAAGACTTTTATTCTACTTTCCTTTGTTCTTTTTCTATTTATTGGCAATTTTAATATAATTTTTTAGAAGTTGGAGAAGGCAGATCTAAGACATTTTAATAATTTATTTTGACTTTTGAATTAAGTTGGCAATATCCTAAGTTTACACCAATCTATTTAAATCATAACAGTGACAATATATTTTGTCTTGCCACATCTTGAGGAGGGCAGTTGTATAAATTGGCAGTGAGGTCATTGGTTTCATGGTGGTTTTTTTTGGCTAGCTCAGTAATACAAGAAAAAATTCAGAACGAATAAAAATTTCTTATGAAAACTAGCATACAAATGATAGGAACTGTTGTTTCCAGGTTTTATGAAATATAAACATATTAATAGATTGAATGAGTCTAAATTCTGTGCTTGTTCAATGTATAAGAGGAGAAACTCTAGTAGTATAATATTGAACAATATGAAAATATTGCCAAGAAAAGTAACAATTTATTATGCTTCTCTTAATTATTATGTAATAATGGTTAAGGTAAAAGAATTAGAAGTATAATTTCCCTATAGTTATATATGACTGTATACTTAACCCTATCTTGTTCCTTAGTAAGCAAACCAAAACATGGCTATAAAATTAAATATTTTACAAGAAAGTTTAAATTGAAGCTATGGTAGTTACTATGGTCAAATAAATTAGACAAAGACATATCATGTATCTTAAGACACTTGCACTATGAAAGAAACAAAGATAAGATGCTTAATATTAAATAGGGGAGATTAAGAACAAAATATCAACAGCTATATTCCAAGATGCTGGAAATGAAAGAGAAACTTAACGAAGATTATATTTGACATGGGCTTTAAAAGAGGAATGTTCAACAGGCTGAAAATCAAAAGCAAATAAAGGAGAACATTTCAGAAAGATTGGACCGCGTGAGCAAAGAACAGAGGAGGAAAGTTTGCCATGGCTTTGTAAGATAGAAAATAATGCAGTCTAAACGGAATAACAGGGAATAAACGGTAGGAAAAAGAGAGTAACAAGAAGCAGGACTCATTATGGTCAGGAAAAAAGTGACAGTATCTGTATAAATATTTACATTCTAGAAATTGTGGTCAAAAACATGGATTCTATATTTCTATAAAAACAAAACCTTCAAAGTCCACAAAAACATAAAACCTACATTTTAAAAATTGTAGTTAACAACATGAAATCAAAGCAAAGGCACAATGATAGGAAAGTTCAACATGAGTTTGTGGAACAGCAGGTTATCTGGTTTGGAAGGAGTTTAAGAAAGCCATAGTGACATAATAAAGTAGTAATAAGGCAGTAATGAGAGAGACACTGAAAATAAAAAAGGGCAATGTTTATTTAAACATCTACATTTTTGAAACTATGGTCAAGAACATTAAGCCTAATACTGCTACATATGAAAATAGTCATATAAAGATATTTATTTAATCCCAAAAGTTTTCCAGAAGGACACTCAGTTTCCAGTATTGGCAGAGAAGTTAAGTGATCCAATGAACTCCTAGGAAAGACTAGATTTAAAAAACTATTTAAAATATTGGAAAGTATCCAAACTATAGACAGAAGCAGGAAGGAAATTTAATTTCAAAAAACTGCAAATAGAAGTATGAATTGTGAATTTTTGGCTTCTTAGCTTGGAGACAGTATCCAACTCCCACAGAGCTAAGTTAGCAAAACAGAAGGGGGAAACTACAACCTTATCAACAAGAGTTCAGGGCTAGAAAAGCAGCTGGAAATGTAAAGGGAAAATACTGGTTTTGAGAGAACCACACAAGAAAATGACCCAAATTCAGAACATAAACTATCCAAACCCAGGCTGACAGCTAAACTGTACACTAGAAAGGAATGACCTACTGATAGTACAACAACAAAAATGACTCTCAAAAGCATATTATGTTAAGTGAAGAGAATTCAGACACAAAAGACTTTTATTGTATCCATGATATTACACATTTGTCAAAACTCACCAATTGTACACTTAAAATAGGTGAATTTTATTGAATGTAAATCACACCCCTGGTTAAAAAAAACCAAAGTTTTCAAAAGAACTTTTATTTCCTGCATAATTTACTAACAACTGTTGTGGAGCTCCTCCATCATCCTGGATTCTGATATTTCTTCTTCCTACCTTCTGCTTTAGAACCATCATCCAAAATGAGAGATGTCACTAATGGGTACGTTACATACATAAATAATGTGAAGGCAGAAAAAAAGGGACAGGGCAAAAGAACTGCTGACCTAAGCCAACATCCTTGGGAAAGATAAGATCAGGTTTAGAAAAAAACTATTAGCTGCTCTGGAAAGGAAGAAAGGACAACTACAAAGATGTTTCTTAAGGTGCCCTTTCAAGCAATAGCTATGATCTAAGGAGAACTTTACCCTCAATCTCTTTGACTCGCATCCTCTATAACTGTAATGTCCAATAAGGTAGTCACTAGTCACATGTAGCTATTAACATTTAAATTAAAATAAATTAAATTTTAAAACTCAGTTCCTGAGTTGCACTCGCCATATCTCAAGGCCTCGAGAGCCCTGTATGGCTATTGGTCATCATATTGGACAATTCTATCATGAGAGAAAAGTCTATTGGACAGCACGACCTCTATAATTTTCAGCTTCAAAATAATCTGACATTTAAAAAATGTCATAGGAAAAAATGAAACAACATATGAAAGCGAAGCAGTACTTTGGTACCATAAAATGTTTACAGATGAGTGATAAAACTGGAGGAAGCAGGCTTTAAAGTCACACAGAACTGAGTTCAAATTTCAACCTAGTCACTTACTAGTGTGCAATCTTGGAAAAGTTATTAAATTTCTCAGCACTTCAATTGAAGAAACTGAAATGAGTATAACAATACTTTGCAAAATAGATTTTATAAGAGCTATTTTATAAGGTTGTTATAAGGATTAAGTGATATTATATGAAAAGTACTTAATATAGGACCTGGCACCAGTATAAATATTATTAATAGTTCCTTAGTTTAACTGTAACTAAAGATAATTGGTATGCTGGCTACTTGATATCAGTGACTAGCAACTCCTTTTATTTTACAGTTCACCATTTCAGTTAAGATAAATCTTAACTAAATTTTAGTGAAGAAAATCACCATTTTCTTGAATTTGTAAGGATATAAATATATACTCAAACATACGCAATAAATCACTTTTCAAAATAAAATAGCACGTATCTACAGTTTTAATAATAAAAGTGTTAATCCTTACCTTAGATGAAATGATCCGGTTATCTATAAATTTCTGAGGTGTGTAAAGGCCATTCTGAGGAAACCTGTTGGCTATGTAAATGGTTCTTGTATCACTTTGATGTGGTGGGTCAAAACCCTAAGACCAAGCAAGAGGAGAAGTAATATTGGTCAACCAGGTTAGTTGCTATGATATGTTACTGTTGGTTTTACTTAACTGACCAGATCAAACATATTATTATTGGTCTCAAACTGCATATAGACTCAACCTAATTGTTAGAAGAGTTATGCCATTTATTTTTCTCTTTCACAGGTAAACAGGTACCTTATCTCCAGATATAAACTAACTAGGTAATACTTCTAGTAACGAAAAACAGTTCAAAACTCTGTCGGAAATGCTACTATAAGAAAAAAAAATCATATAGGAGACCTATTGAAGCATTTGAGGACAAGGTTTCTTTCTCCACTGCATTCCTTCCCTTTCATTCCTCTGGGTTCCTTGCTTTCTCTTAGAATGGATTTCTAATCAGTGATATTAAAGTCCTAGGTAGCTATAGCCTAGAGAGCACCTACCACATATGATGGAAAAGGTTTATATTTATTTTTACTTCTTCTACATCCAAATCAACTTGTTTTCAAAAAGCTTTGTTCCCAGAGGACTTAACAATGCATTAGGTAGGGTCTTGCCCAGATTCATTCCATACATTTATCTGTGCCAGTTACTGTATCAGTATCAGTATCAGTTGACTTCCTGAAACACTGATGTGAATATGCTGTAATTCCTGGCCTTGACGAACTGACATTCTGGCCTCAAATTTATTAATAGAAGACCATCTCTCAAGGTACATTAGTAATAGTAATTAGTAATTTCTAGTGGAAAAGTTTTCCTTAGTGACAAGAATACTAATATTTTATTCCTACAGTACTTTACTTTCTTCCAGGATTGCAAGTGAATTGTTAAGATTCCTTTGACAGATCTTGGGAAGCCCCGACAGGCTGAGAGCAATACCCAAATGCAAGACTTTTTAAATAGACAAATGATTTGCAATTCCTTAGATTTTCCTTTTTTTATAGTGGTCAAGGGCTATTTACTAGTACTACTAAGTTATTAAAAGGTAAATTAAACGTGGCATTAATAAACTACAATGATTCATTTTTAGATATTACTAAAGACTCTAATTTAGTAACCTACTAAGTAATCTGGCTGCCATTCAATGCTTAGCATCCTTGTAAACTTTCTACTGGGCACAGACATATATAGAGATAGTGAGAAATCCTGTATTGCCAAGGGGGATATTGTGTTTAGTACATCAGAATACAACGGTATCATGTATGGTATTTAACTATTATTCTTGGTTTTAAAATTTTATTTTGCGATCTCAGAAACAGCTAGTACAGGGCTGTACAAATGCATTACATGCATCACAAAGAACATGTTTATTTGTTTATATTATTAAAGTCCTATGATTTTCTGCCCTACTCTGGCAACATTTTGTAATAGTGATGACTACATTTTACAGTTGTGAATATGACACTCTGTGCCTGATTTCAAAATCAGTCTCTTCAAGGAAAAAAACACAGTGGCACACGTATTTATTTTCCTCATAAATTTTCTTTTAAACTTTTTATAATTTTGTAAATAAATGAATAAGTGAACAAATAGCTTGAATGCTACTGCTTTAGTCTATGCCTGTATCTCTCAAAGGGGGTTCACAGGAAGTCTACCTATAAACAGGTAATGAAGCATTAGACTGCATGAGGAATATTTATTCAGCATCCATTTTGTAACCATGTTAACATATCATCCCATACACTAGTTCCTATCTCTCAATATGCTTTCTACCATTTTTCCAGCATCACTCTGCCTTCGGCTCAACTCAACAGATTCAGATGGAAACCTGTCAGAGCACATTTAAAATTGATAAAATATAACTAATGTTTTCTTTAACACTAAGTTACATATCATGCATGTCAGCTTATGGGATAAAATAAAAAAAAAAAAAGGAAAGTAAATTTCAATGTCTGAAAGAACATGTAAATCTTTAAGAAGATGTCAAGACAACTAAGACAGAGAACCACTAATACAGAATTTTAATTTTTTGCTAAATTCCCACCATGGCTGGAATTTATTATTTGTACATCTAAAGTTAAGGGAAAAAAAAGAATCCAAAATAACAGAAAAAGAACTACAGCAACATCTCAGTTATGACTAGAAATTATACATAAATGCATGTATTTCCATGAAGCAATGCTCATCATTTTACATTCATTTATACTAGATATGAACCAGTGATCATATACTAAAATTTTGGAATTCCTGAGATTTCTACAATTATTTCAAGGGGATATATTGAAATGTTCTCCCCAAAATCAATTTTAAATTAAATTGAATTTAAAAAATTCTATACAGCAGCTCTATATTCAAAGATATCACAATTTAAAGTAAGATGACAATTCCAAAAGGAAAATAGCAAGCTTTTCCTCATTCCCAAATGAGGGATATAACATCCATTTACGCATTTCGAGATCTTTTTCAGTTGTAATGAATTCACATAATCTTATCCAATCATATTATAGTCAATGTTATATATGTGTGTATGGATGTACATGTGCATTTTGTTTCATATACAAAATAGTTAAATTTGATATATGTGTTGGTAGTGTAAATATGGCCAAATGTCCCTTATGGAAATTAAACCTGTAATTCCAGATCATTACCATCATCTTCTCTGCAACAAATTTAACAAGCTGCAAACTAAATACAAATAAAAGAACAAAACCATCCAAAAATGAAGAAACTGACTTAAAGCAGGGTCCATAAATGAGCGCTAGGTCTGTAAATCTCTGAAATTGTGTGCAAATTTGCATTATGTGCATTTTTCTGATAAGAATGCATATAGGTTTCATTAGATTTTCATGATGCAAAGAAGCTTAAAACCACTTAACCTAAAATCTTGCTTTGTAATCAGTTCCCCATCCCTATATTCTCTAAACTGCCTAAAGAGAATCTTTATGTTTCAGTAACACCTCCACCTTCTTTAATGAGTCAAAACAAACAACTACTGTCAAAATTAAATGTATAACTATATTATTAGTATGAAGTTCAAGTATAATTTCACCCTATTTCTAGCAAGCATTATCAGCAATTTTATAGCACTGAGGAAGAAACACAATCTGAACTCTCTAATCAGTAGGTCAAGGCTACATAGCAGGGTTCAGAAACCGTTGGTACATGTTACATTTTTTGTTGTCATCTCACACTATCCATTCACACCCTCAACTCCTTGACGCTTGCCTGTTCCTTTCTCCTCTGATTTCATCTTGTCCTGGGCAAAGGAACTGAGAAGGATTGATGCTATTCTAGCCACCCCAATTTTATGTCAATGTCTGCTAAAAAGTACAGGTATTAGAGGCACGCAAATTTAAACTATTTTAAAACTATCATATTCTTAAAAAGTACGAAATTCAAAACGTTTTTGTTTTCCTCTCCTGACTGGATTTGTGAGCATCTGTTAAAGCCATAGGTACTCAAAAAAAAGTAGGTGAGTATTTAAGGGGCAAAAAATCTCACGGTGGTAGACAGGGGGAGAATTGCAATACATGGGATTGATTTGAGAGATTCCTTTTGTAACCACAACCTGATTAGACCTGGGGAAACTAAACCAGCAAATAGCTATATAATTTATAGAAGTTGGTCTCTGGCATAAAGAAATACTTCAAAATGAATCACAACATTCTCAGGCCAAATACATAAGGCTCTGCATTATCTTAAAATTCCAAAGATTTTATTAAAAAATATAAGTATTACAAATAAAAGAACTAAGAAGACAGTAAAATTATATTCATGAATAATGTAATTAAATATTGTCATACTTCTTTAAACATAACTAAGAAAACATCATCTTTAGAGTTCATAGTAATTGAAGTAAATATGTGCCTTCTATTTTACTATGTTATATATTTGCTCTATGAAAGAAAAAGCTTCAAAATAAACCCCAAAACAACAAAAACAGTATTGAGTCGAAACTGTAACAGTATTAAGTTATTAAAATAAATGAATAGCACTTTATTTATATCACACACTTTATATGACAGAAAGTGATTTTTGTTGGCTATATATTTCAATATACACAGGCACATGAAAATAGCCTAGCAAAAATACCAAGGCTTCTGCGGAAGAATGATGTAATGTATTTTACCAAGATCTACGAAGTTAATTCTGAATTACTGTTTCCTGGACATAGACTTCCAATAAAATATACCTTTATGAAGGTACTATAAGGGCAAGATAATGTGACACTGTTAACAGACCAAAGTAAGGTGATAAAAAAACTTAAAACTCCCCAATATAAACAAACACAATAATCTAATTTTAACTTTTTTAAAAAAATTATATGACTTTCAGTTAGGATTTAAGTTAGTTTGCCATCTATCAGACCAGTGTGGGCTTCAAGAACTCTGGCTTAGTGCAGGGACAGGTTGGGACTGGCTTTCAAGCTGTAGAGTGATCTTACAGAAAGATAACTCGAAAATTCTCAAATCATCTGCCAATGCTTTCCCACAGGAAGCTCATTTCTTATATGTAATGATGTTACTTCCCAAACTTGATTTCCTTACTCCAACATACACCTCCAGCAAAAGCCTTCAATTTCAGCTGAAGAATTTCCTTCTCAGCAGAACTTTACCTGATGTCTCTTCTTTCTCAGAAACAAAAGAAAGCAAGGCCAGGCACGGTGGCTCACACCTGTAATCCTAGCTCTCTGGGAGGCCGAGGCAGGCGGATTGTTTGAGCTCAGGAGTTCGAAACCAGCCTGAGCAAGAGCGAGACCCCCGTCTCTACTAAAATTAGAAAGAAATTAATTGGACAACTAAAAATATATAGAAAAAATTAGCTGGGCATGGTGGTGCATGCCTGTAGTCCCAGCTACTCGGGAGGCTGAGGCAGGAGGATCGCTTGAGCCCAGGAGTTTGAGGTTGCTGTGAGCTAGGATGACGCCACGGCACTCTAGCCCAGGCAACACAGTGAGACTCTGTCTCAAAAAAAAAAAAAAAAAAAAAAAACAAAAGAAAGCATGTGTTGTCTACTACTCCTGCTATACCTATTACACACTCTCATCAAAGACTTTACCACACCAAACT